TGCGTGCGTGCGTGCGTGCGTGCGTGCGTGCGTGCGTGCGTGCGTGAGTGCGTGCGTGCGTGCGTGCGTGCGTGCGTGCGTGCGCGCGTGCGTGCGGATTCCCCGTGTCCGGGCGGTGCCAAGGGCTACTGCTTCTTGCTTGGGCACAGCAAGGCCTGTTGATTGAAGCTTTGTTTGTGCTGATGATTCACGACCAATGTGCAGGGATGTGCAGAGGGTCAGCGCATGCCAGCGCGCCTTGCAGTACACGCTTCCATGCACCTGCCTTATCAAGCAAGCTGCTTGTGACAGTGCCTTGGTATGCCTTGGTCCTCGTTGGGGATTGGGCATATCGTCGCAGCCAGTATATCAGGTTTCTTCTGTGCATTACGGCGCTTTCGGCATGAAGAAGCCAAGTTTGACTCGCTGTTGGAATGTCGGAAGGAATCCCGAGGAAGATACAAGTAATAGGCACGTTTACTCGAACAAGCTGCATGGGGGTCGGGGTAGTGGAACATGGTACAAAGGCGAAGCGGCAGCAACTCAAGTACGATCACACCAAATGGGGTAATGCAACATATGTCGACTGGCAAAGAACGTTCTGGCACTGCTTTGTGCGGTGGAGTGCGTAGCACGATTTCGCACAGTCGGTAGGTGAATCGCTAAGAGCGATAGCCCACAGGTCGGGCGAAAGAGCAAAACTGATTCTACTTCCTGAAGCTGCTCACGCGACACATGGCCATTCTCAGCATTCAGTCCTACAAGACAGTGTCCCGGCATTATCAGCAGCTTGAGTAGAATTCTGAGAAACAACAAATTAGGGCTGAAGCTTCGGCTCAGGAAGCGGCCTGCCTGGCTCATGCACTGATGCAAGCCGTTTGTTGGTCAAAACCTCCGAGTGCCTGTGGCCTCACACTCTGCTTTGCCTCACCAATGGCCTTAACTGATAAAGGCAGCGAGGCAGACTCCGGGCCTTCTGCGGAGTTGCGACGGAAGTCGCCACGGCTTTATCTAGGCGCCGAACCTTGGCGAAGTCTTGCAACTTCACCGCGTGCGATTCTACCACATACGGTGGAAGATTTGGACACTGTGCAAAGCAGCGGTGGAATCTCTGCAATCAAATGCCCTAAGTTGGCTTAAGTCCGAAGCTGCTGAATCGCATCCTTGCGGCACAGAGTCCAGGACTAAGAGCATTCCAGTGAACCCCGCACATACAGTTCATGCCAAGTGCGGGTACGGTGTTGACCATCTCCCTCACTGATTCGCTCTCCTTTCCGGTGAGCAAGTCTGCTGAGATGATTCCAAGCGCTGCGAACCTCATCAGGATCGGTGACATTGAGATCCAGGAGGTATCACATCACATCAGGAGCCATGAACTCCCCTTCTGCCTTTTAATCTCCGCTACTGCAGGCCTCTGCTTCACATTCGCGAGTCTCTTCGAGAACACACGAGGCGACTCTTCGAAAACTTCAGATCAGCCACAGCTGTGGCATCGCTGCTGCCTCTATGAAACTCCGAAAATGTCGGACTTGGAGAGGGTGTCACGATAAGGGCGCATCAGTGGTTTCCTGCAGCGTTGTGGCGGAAGCTGCAGAAAGTTGCGATGACTTTCAAAGTGCACGCCGGTGCCTTGCGCTGTGGCTCCAGATGCACCAACCTCAACCAAGGTCTGAGGGAAGCTTCGAGCACTCGAGTGGACAAACAGGCTGTCGTTGGCTCTGACCATCTTCACAACCGCCCTACATGCAGTAACATCATAGAAATCTCTACACGCCTCAGTTCAGACGGCCCATGAGGCATCTTGAGGCAAGATCTGCAGGTCTAGCTTCCGAGGAGCCTTATCCGATGGCTTTGCCGCCAAGCCACTTGATGTTTGCAGAAAGGCCTTTGACAGGAAGAAAGTGCTTCGAACCTGACCATCACCAATCGACACAAATGCCCCGGCCCCTGTCAGCTGTAGCAACTAGTCGCAAGGAACACCCTCTGTGAGCCTTCTGGCCGAAGATACGTTGTGTCACCTGGCTCTGACCGAGGGGAGCTCAGGAGACTCTTCGAGCCGGAGCCACCCTCGACCAACTCGGCCACGACGCCGTGCACTCCTCGGGAGACCTTTGGCCAAACTTGCGCAGCAGCGGATCATGTGTTCTCTATGCTCTTTGCCTGGCCATTGGCGACTTTGGCCGACCAGCGCGGTCGGCTGCGGAAACAGGTGCCTTTAGGGTGCACCACCTGGCAGGCTGTAGCTGAGGTGTAGTCTGAAGCTTGCTGAGTGGCAGCACACCTCGAAGAGGAGCACTTCTTCGGAGGAAGGCAGCTGCATCATCGGCTGCGCCTCCTCCTTTGGAAGCAGCACCTCCGAAAGAACGCTGCAATCGTGTAACTGTGAACTGGAAGCCGAAACTCAGCTCTGCCCCTCTGCGTGCGACATTCCGATTGTCACGGAAGAAAAACCACGAGACCGATCTCCCGAAGCGGGGGACGACGCTCTGCAGAAACAAAGACCATATGAACACGGATGACATGGCAGCGGGTCACAGTTTGTCAGCGGTCAGATCACACACCAGCAATTAAGCCCAAATCGACAATTGGCCCTCAGACTTAAGCATTCAAAGATGTGGCGCACCAGTGATGCACGGCACACAGCAGCACCGGTGCATGAGAGGGATGATGGTGCAACGAAGCCACTGACGGGCCTCGAGCTCCTCGTCCTCAATCTTCTCCTCGGGCTTCTCTGCAGCCACCACCGCACGAAGCCGCTCGGTGTCGCGGCACAACAGCGACCTGCTGATTTCAGAGCCTTTCCTTCCGGATGGCTGAGAAATGTTTTCAGCCAGGGAGCGAATGCAAAACATTGAGCTCTGGCCAGTGCAGAGGCGAACGGCACTCGGGGCAGAACACCTTCGCCGAAACTTCTCCGGAACATCTTTGCAGAGCAATGCAGGGCATGTGTGGGCATGTCTCGTCTGGCACTCGAGCCGCGTAGGGTCGCCATGTGGCTAGCGGCTAGCTTCGGCCTCTGCTTTCGAGACGCAGCTGGTGGCCCGTGCACGCAGGCTCAAAGGCCTGAAATCGAAATCGCAAATGCGGCTGCGAATGGCTGCGAGAATGTCTGCAGGAAAAGCTGATGCAGTTTAGGCTGCAGCCAAGGGACTCCAGCTGCTTTTCCCACTCCGTCCACCAGTAGCTAGATAAGCACGAACGGTGAAAGGCATGGTAGCCTCAACAGACTCGTTGATGTGAGGAAACTTGCGTATGATGATGGCTGAAAGCTCGCACTGAGATGCGAGCACGGAGTTCGCACCGCGGGATCAGCCTGCGCTCGAGAGTCGTTCCTGGTGGCTCGCAAACAGCACCGCTGTATCGGCCTCGTCCATATTGAAATCCACGAGGCAGATCGCACAGTCACCGCTCGGCACGTTCAAATCCGTCAAGATATCTTGCGCTGCCTGAACGGCAGTCAAATGCGCCTTCCCGCACAGCAAGGCTATGCACCTTCCGAAATTCCACAAGCCACCTGAAGAAGCGCGTACAGCGAAGGCTGCCCGCACAGCTCATCAGACGCAGCTCTCAGCTGGGAGACTAAGCCTTCACTTCTTGAGTCTGGGAGACCTGGACATGGCAGGTAACCAAAGGTAGTGCTGGTCTGTGAAGGCCCCACCTCGCGAAGAGCCCAATGCCAGCTGTACCGGCTTGTGGGGGTAGCCACGCGGAACGTCTAGCACCAGCTGGACTCTCACGAAGCGTGCATGATCCTCCCCAGCTGTGTGGGGAACCAGGTGTACAGATACTCGCGCGTGAATCTCGGCGGGGTCAGCGTCCGGAAAATGAACGACGGACAGGTCGGACTGGCAAAGATTGCAAGCCGGGGACTGCCGCACCAGACCGAGCAGTCCCACACCCAAGCGGTTCAGGCAGCCTCCTCCGGCCACATCGCTCTAAGCAGTTCCACCTCCTCCTTCTGGTCGGCGTGTGCAACTGCTCTCACGTTACAGGTGACTCCCATCAGGTCCTGGAGTGCCTCATCGAGGACCTCTGAGAAATCTTGCGAGGCAAGGCAAGACTTCGGAGGCCTGGCCCTGAGGCCCTGAGGCAATGGCACTGGAGCTGTGCTCCATTCAACTCACTGGGCCACGCCCGCTCATGGCTCAGACCCGGCACTGCAGACTGTCTGCGGCAAGGGCATGCTAGTTTCTTGGAGTTCGGACCAGAACATGCAGCATCTGTCGTAGTGCCTGGAAAGCGAGACGCACTTGCAGCGCAAAAAGAAGAGGCTTCTGCATGGCAAAACGTCCGTTGTTGATCTCCTGTCAAGCGATGACACCTCTCCCCACTCCACATACCAGCACAAAGGATGGTAAGCCATCAAAAGTCGTGCTCCTTGGCCCTCATCTCCTCGTTGTACTGGCCAAGACCTCTCCAGACCCGGAGAGCCACCGAATGAACGGGGGGCCACGGCTCTGAGTGCCCCGGCCAAGGGGATCGCCGAAGTCGCCGGCCTCCTTGCTGGGATCCTGCAAGTTTTCTAAGCGGCGTGCCCCCGGCCCAGCCCGCCCAGCCCGCCCAGGCCAGGAAGGTCCTGGGTCCAAACACCGAGCTCCATGGCCCCGCTCAGCAGGAAGAGGGCCTAGCTTTCTGACCATGTCTGGCTCACGGCTACTGCGATGCCGGGTGAGGCACCACGAAGCCGTATGTGCCGGGCCTTGGACACACACTCAAACTCTTGGGCTGCAGCGGGGCATCTACTATGGCTTCGTGCCAATTCATAAAGCTCGCGCAAGGTCGCCCTCGCTGTAAGTTGATTCATGACAGCTCTGAGATTTACCACTAGAGGCAACAGAGAGTGCAATGATGCTTGTATGTGATCGTTTTCGCAGTCGCATGTGTGCGACTGTGCTCAGCAGGGTGAGGGCCGCGGGGCCTGGCAGGGTAGGGACACACATGCACGAGTGGACCACTGCGTAAGAGTCACGGTCGTGATTGCTCTAAGAGCCCAGCGCGGTCGTCACAGCTCCAAGGCCAGCAGGTACACCCTGGCGGCGCTGCCGTGTGCAGCATGGGGTCCATACAAACAGTCGCTACGTTAGAGTAACGGCGTCACGATGATAGCCTCAAAGCCTGGGAACTTGACGTAATGCTGGACGACCTGGCCCAAACAGAGTATTGGTCTTGAAGTGTCTTGCTACTTCACCATCGAATGCACTCATTTCTGCCGATGCTTTTTCACACTCAAAGCTGCGCTACACCGTCCCTCGGGATCGCCCCCAGCATGACGGGAAGCTGCTGCATGCGACCAGCGATGAGCAGTAGTCCATCGCGATCGCGAGTGCAAAGGCCAGAGCCTCGGAAGCCTCCAGGGCCAAGCAGGGCCAAGCCAAGTGAGAACACGGATACGACAAATCTCTCCGACCTTTTGGAAGTCCAAAGCTTCTCAGGCGACGGCTGCCTCAGCTGACGCCGGCTGGAGCTCTGCACCAGCCCAAAAAACTCTAAACGCTCGAGGCAAGGCACCAATGAAGTCCCAAAGCTCCAGTCGACCACTTGAGACCAAGATCCACAACCGCCCTTCCTGAGATACCGTTTACAAGTATACGACTCAGTCAGTATCTGGAATGTGCATTCCAAGCATCCTGAACGACGTCCAAATACACAGCATCCACCTGCTCAGGTGCTGCGCTGGGGTCCTGGAGGTCCCGTGTCTATCAGCTTCTTCGCACAGGACAGTGCAGAAACGCCCCAGTCCTGCTTGGAGGTTGTGTTCTTCAGCTCTAGCGCCAACTGTGAGCGAAGCGTCAGTCTCATTTTGAGAGAGCTCACTTCCTCCTGCGTCCTGCTGCCAACACAGGCCACGGACACCTTCTTTGGTCCCAAGAGGCCCGGTCCGTCCTCGGCAGCACGACTGTTGCGAAGCTGATCTCATTGGTACCATCTCCCAGCACCAAGAGGAGACAGGATCTGGACGTTGTCCTTAGCAAACTGTGGGTAGCGCTTCAACAGGAGACCTCATGCTTGTGCATTTCAGCTGCTTGGGATGCAGATCTTGCTCCAGCGATGCGCAAGGAACCAGCGACCCAGCCAGAAACCGGTGGCGACTCCCCACTGTAGCACCTTGGCCAGTGTCTGCCGTGAAGCCCGCTCAGACGCTCAGCTCCGGCAAGATCCGGCAAGTCACCCAGCTCGACCGTGAGGGGGCCCTCGACTCCGGCGGTGCGGTTTGCGTGAAGCAGGGTCAGCATCTCATCTTGCTGCTCGATCCATAAACATTCCAGACCGCTTTTGTCGCACACGAGCCGCCAACTGGCGGGAACGTCCTCGAAGCAAACTCGTCATGAAGGTCAAGCTAGCTTTTCGATTGCTCTGACTTCTGCACCCAGCTTGCTCTATCCTGGGATGGCATTTCCAAGAGTTGAATTGGGTCTTCCAAATCCTCAGCGTCAGCTGACTCCCGGACCGACTCGGAAAAGATTCTTCTGGTCCAAACTATTCCTCCCCAAGCAGTCGAGCCGCCAAGAGCGTGTACTGAGAAAAGGTAGAGCCAACGAAGACCCCGCCATTTGGCTGGCACGACCTGCAATGCGGATGATAAAACCCCCGTTTTAAAGTAGATGCGTCCGTACGTTGAGAGCAATCGAATTCTTTGTAAGACGATTAACGTTTTTTAACTAATTGTAACGAATGTTCGCAACTTTAGCTGAGAACATAAAGTCCCAACGCCCTGTAAAAAGATAGGAGTGATAGGAGTACGAAAAAAAGACAACCATGTTAAGGGTCAAGCAAATGGGTCGGTGGTTTTCACGCACCCTGCAACAGGGCCTGCGAAATCCGTGCACGCCGGAACTGTTTAGAGTCTAGAGGGATCCAATCACGGGTCCGAGCAGCACAGCTTCCGGACTAAAGAACCGTCCATACGGCCAGGAAATGTTGAGCGGCTGGAAGACGAGTTCAGGGACCTCCATGTCTCGTTTGCTTGACATTCTCCGGTCACCAGACCCGTTTAGCACATACGTCCAGCGACAACCTGCACAGCAGCGAGTCGTCGTTCTTCGACGATATGCGACCTCAGGCAATCAGCGGCACAGGCATGGCATGGCCCACAACTCCACGATCCAGCTTCGCCCAACACGACATGCGAACGCAAGGCAGGCGAGCCCAAATGAGCGAAGGTGCACTTGCCAGTCAAAGATATGCGTCTTGGTCTCGCGAAGAATGGCTAAGATGCCCAGACCAAGCCTGCACAACACAATGCACTCAAGACAAAGAGGCGATCTTCACCTGACTGTGCCCATTATCAGATGCATCGGAGGCTCCAGACCAGCTGGATGGTGCGCGTCACGAAGCTAACCAGATTCCAAGGCAAACGGTTGACTTGGATGTTGGGATCGGCTTGGCTTCCTGAGGGCAGCATGGCGCAACGGGACGCGGAAGTATGATCCATTTGAGTCTGTTTCGCTCTCCTCGTCCTCGCAGTGGGGTTTTCTCGTCCTTGGATCTTATAAAATTGTTGCGGAACTTGCCCGAATCCCGCACAACAATCAATGTCTTGAGACATGTTTGGTAACAGGGGCACCTATGGGGCACCTTGAAGCTGTTGCAAGCTGAGCCGCTTCTCTCGAGATTCGGCTCCCTTCGCCGACATCCTGTCATGAACGTTCCTACTTGGGACGTGCCCGGGTTGCAGGAGACAACAAGATTCCAGGGCTGACCTGGTCCGAGTCATCACTTCGTTCGGAAGTTTCATCGACGGTTCCTTGTGGACGTTTCGCCACTACATGTGACAAGCGGAGATCTGCACCTGCACTAGCTTCGACGAGGCTCCATGTGTCATCATCTCAACCTTGCGCTTGAACTCCTTTGGTCACGGCGGCAGCCGAACAACGACACGTAGGACGTAGAGCCTAGTACTCCGAGTCGCCATGCAAATGGCCATAGCACTGTCTAGGTCCAGAATGTTGTCGCTCGACGGTCTGTCCAACAGGACACCTGCCGGGAGTGCTACCACTACTATGCACTGACGCACAATAAGTAGTAATCAACAAATACACCCGGGTACGTGCTCACAGACGGGTGGACCAAGCAAGGCGCCGTTCTGAGACCTGTATCGATTCTCTATGTCGTAGAACCACCTCTGCATGGCAGCCAAATCGCATTTGCCAGGCCATACTAGAGACTGGTCAGACTCGTGATGCAAAATCTGCCCAAGGCACGTCGACACCACCCCAGTGCCAAACCAAAAGGAGAACGGCCCAAGGACCTCAAGGACGTTCCAACAGCTGCTTGAGCAAGATACTGAAGCCAACAACGAGAAGAACAGTCCTCCCAAGCCGCAGCAGTCCCGTGCGATGATATTAGTTCAATGAGGATTTGACGCAAAGCAGAGAGGGGACTTCTGCCAGAGCGGGCTTGTGCAATTGAAGCTGCCGTGCCAGAGAAAGGATCCTTGCGCCGTTCAGCTGTAGGGAACTCTGCCCAAGGACGGTCGTCCTGACGGGAGCTGTCCAGATCTGCCAACACCAACTAGCAATGCGACAGGATGCGCTTCCAGTCGCGAAGCTGCCTCCACTGGAATTGGCATCTCAAGCTTCTCCATAAAGTCCACGAAGGCATCGGCTGTGGCGTTGTAACCTTGGAGAGAGAGAGAGAGAGAGAGAGAGAGAGAGAGAGAGAGAGACAGCATACAGACAGGCAGGCAGACAGACAGATAGACACAGACAGACCCAGACAGACACAGACAGACACAGACAGACACAGACAAACACAGACAGACACAGGCAGACACAGACAGANNCAGTCAGGCAGGCAGGCAGGCAGGCCAGATAGGCAGGCAGGCGGGCAGAGTTCAACACCATCAGAGGCTGCAAGTAACACAAAACATGAACGGAATCCACTCAGCAGTAGTAGCTGTGACTTGTTACAGCTAACATCAGAGGTGTCTGGTCATGGGGCTCCTCAACA